TTATTTTTAAACATTTTAAGAATAGTTGTTTATTAGCATTATCATACCATTTCTGTTAGCAATTCCTAAACGGTTATATAAATACGAATCCGTTGCGGTTAAATCGACCCGTTTGTCTGGCAAACAATTGAAATATGATCTGTACTGTAATTCTCTAACAGTTAAAGAATACAAATTTTAAAAATTTTCAAATTATGAATATTAAGCATTTAATTATACAAAAATTCGTTTTTTTTTTTATTTTACAGCATCAACCTAGATTTTTTATATCTGCCAACTACATATTACTTATTAAAATTTAATTTTTGCAAATATGTAATTCAACCACATTCATTTTTATCAAATTGTTGTTATATTTAGGCATCTGCTCTGAAAAATGCTTGAATGGTGGCAAATGCATACAAAAGGATAAATGCCAATGTTCAAAAGGTTACTATGGGCTGCACTGCGAATTTTGTAAGTATACACACACAAACTTTCTATTACTTTTAATTACATGTGTATGTGTTATTTTTCAAATTGTCTAGCCAAATGTGTGATTCCTTGTAAAAATGGCGGTCGCTGTATAGGCCCCAATATTTGTCGCTGTCCAAGCGGTTTGCTAGGCAACCATTGCGAAATCGAGCGCATACAACGCTCAACCTGTAGACGTCCCTGCAAGCACGGTGTCTGTACGGCGAATAAAATATGTAAATGTGATCGTGGCTTTTACGGTCGACATTGTAATGCAAGTATGTGGCGTCATTTTCAATGGTAACTTCAATTACAACAAATCATACTAATTCTGTTGTTTCATTTCACAGGAATTAAAAAACACCGTAAAATCCATAGATAGGCAATTTTATATTTTGGACAGATCTCTCCGCTTTACACTTAACTAATTCGGTTTTAATGGAAACAATAGATTTGTAAAAAGTGTGCTTATTATTTTTAATACGACTATCGCTAACCAACTTACATATATACTTACATACATAAATATAAATTTTTTCTCTAAATGTTTTGTGTAAAACCTAAATTTAATACTACTATATTATTCGTCTGCCCAGTAATGGCATGTTAGAATCATTTATTTCTAGAAACGTTGTGATAAACCATTTTTTTTTTTTTTTGTTTAATTAATGTAACAAAATTTTACTTCAAGGAAGTCTGAAAATGTCTAATTTATAATTGGAAATAAGCATTTTTATAAAATAAAATAAAACATGAATTTAAAATAAAAAAAAAATAAACTTTCAATTAAGATTTGATTATATTACTTTTTGCCATTTGTTGCAGTAAAGCAACAAATAAAGGTAGGCAAACTAGCAATGCGTCGCAAGGTTATATTTAAGCATATTTGATTGCGACAACCCGCATATTTATAATACTATTCATTATTAATTAAATTAACAAACATAAATTTGTTTAACTCTTACATTATTTATTATTATTTATGTTCGTTCTCTTTTCTGAACCACTGCTTTTGGTGCACAACCCTCTATATACAATCTAAGTGTCTCCTCGTCCATTTTTTCATTCTCCTTAGGCGGCTTATAATCGGCCACGTGATCCACACGTATTGTACGCCCAAGTAGTTTAATACCATTTAAATTATCAACTGCCAAGATAGTGGAACGTTGGTCTTCGTAACAGATAAAGCAAAAACCTTTTGACTTTCCACTACTTTTATCCCTTATCAAGTTTATATTAACAATTTCGCCATACTGTGAAAAAACACAGATTATATCGCCTTCTGTTAAGGTGTAAGGTAAACCACCAACAAATATCCATGCTGAATCCTTATACATATCATGCCAAGATTTCTTGCCACCTTTTAAGTCAGTTGCACTGAGCTTAAGAACATTCTTCACATTTGTCATAGCATTCATGTTGATAATTATAATATCGAATGTGGGAATATTCCTGCAGAGAGTTGTTGTAGAAATTCTTAGTTCAAAACAGATATATTTTCGATTTTACAATTTATTAAACAAAGGTTTACAATATCGTTTTCATATAAAATTTGGATCAGTAGGCTTGCACTACAGCTATACACTTTTTTCACTTCTCTTACTAAGTGCTGGTGCAAAAGATAGCCTAAGGAACCCTTGTTGCGCAGTATAGAACCCCTTTAATGCACTATGTAAGTACAAATCAAATACGCCAAGGTTCGAAAGATTTACAAAAAATAACTAAAAAGTTTTTATACTAATCTTACGTACCCGGTATTTCTCTTAATTTATGTATTTAAATAAAATGCCGACAAAATAAAATTATGCTCTAAATTCACACAACAGCTGTTTGTAAATAAACGCACAAGGTTGTACAAATAACCGCAAAGTGATGCCACATACGAGGAATAAGTGCACATTCATTGTGTACAGTAGGGTATTCTCTTGCTCTTGCAAAACCCTTGCACAGTCCACGAGTTGCAGATTTTTCCACCTAATGCAACGGCACAACAACAAACACACGCAGAAAATTATTTGCAATGGCTGTAAAATGTGCCATTTGCAGTCTGCATTCTTGCAAAAGCAAGAGAATCCCCCTAGTATTTTTTTAAATTTCAAATCACATACGTACTGAAATTCTTATTCTACTTATATACGATAAGACAAATATATGTAATATTTTTATTTAGTTGATAAAAACATCAAAAAAATATAATGAGCACCAAATTAAAACTTTTAAATCGATATTACTCCGGAATTAATTATTATGCCTTTGCTTGAATGTACCTACGGAACCCTTATCAGTTAAAGGAGAAAAGAATAAATGTCAACAAAGCTGACTGGTGCAAAACAAAGTAGACAAATCTTATTCAAAAGGAACGGAAAGTCAGCTGACCAAAGCAGCAACAAAGTATACGAAATGACTCCTAAAAATATTGACGATCCTGTGGACGCCAACTCCGCTTCAAAAGCAGAGGAATCTGATCTGCAAGGTAAGAGCGGAATTGGTCAAATAAAATGTAAATTTAAGTTTTTACTTAATGTTAATTTTCCAGAGGTTGAGGATGTGAACGAGAGCCTCGACGAACTAACTCGTGCACTTGATTTTTTTGAACAGCGCACCGACGATATTATTGCACAGCTAAGAGTGCTGCTAGACTCTAATCGTGAGATACGTCAAGAAATAGCACAGGACAAGGAAAAAGAAACAATTGCGGCTTTGGCAGCTACAAATATCAGTAGCAAAACAGAAAACGACGTTGCTGAGGAAAATACCAATGTCGGTGATTAAGATGCGCTAAATGGGCATATCGCACTGGAAGGTGCACACAAAAGTATTAGAGGCCGTGAAATTGTCGTTTACATTTGCTTGCTTTTGTTTTATATATCTTAAATTTATTCGTGTTAACAACAATTATAAGAGTGGTACAAATTAACGTTATTTTTTTGTTTCCAATAATTGTTTCGCGGAGACTTCGAATAATTGTTTATTAACAAGTTTTAAATGTTGTACTTCGGCTCTTAATCGCTCAATCTCTTTCGCCGCTTCCTCGTCTGTTGCTGTAGCAGTAGGAGTGGTGTTGGTTGTTGCTCTGGACGTAGACGGCTCTTCTAGATATTCGGTAGGATATTCTAGTGTATCCCAATATTCATAATCAGTATCAGCGTTTTCTTCAGTGATTAAAACTTCTATGCACTCTTCTTCATCAGCCTCAGGAGCATCTAGCATGCGCCGCAGATTGCCACTAAATTTCTTCGGTGGTTTATTTTCTGGCTTAAATATATCTGGGTTGGAGAGACGCAGCTTTACATTTGTTACAGGTCCTTTATGCTGCATACGCTTTATCAGCTGTTTACTAGCAACGTCCCAAATGCATACTTGTTCGTCTTGACCACCAGACACCAGAGTTTTACCATCAAATGATAGAGCAAAACAGGTAACTGCGGTGCCCTCTTTATGTCCTTTAAAAAGATTAGAGTGCTCCTTTTCAACATGTAATTCCTATCGGAAAATAAATTGATAAATATTGTACTATTCAGTTAAACTTTTTGTCTTACCTTGTTTCCGGCCGCAGCATCAGTATTAAATTGGTAAATATTACCGTCCCCCGTGCCAACGTATACATCGGTTTCCATAGTATTTGTAATAACGCTGTGTAATGATTCAGCAAATACCACATTCAAAAGCAAAGCTCCAATTAACAAATCATAAATTTTGCAGGTGCGATCCAGTGACACGGTTATCATATGAGCTCGAATACCACCAAACCCTATATGAACATCTGTTACTGGCAGCCCATGATCGGTGAAGGTGTACACTGGTGTTTGACTGTCGTCGTCCCGCGCACACACAGTTGTCAGATTCCATAACATTACACTACCATCTTGACCAGCTGAAGCAAAATGTGAATCTTCATCGAAACGAATGCAGTTAATGGGCTGGAAATGTTTTGAAATTGTGTTTAGCATTTTACCAGACGGTAAATGCCAAATATAAATATTCTCTTGTATTGCAGCAACGAGATAAAGCATATCGGGTGAAAGTGCCATGGAATTAGCGCGACCAGGTAGCACGAAACGCACAGAAGTAACCTGTTGTTGTGAGTTAATTGGCCAAACATGGAGAAGAGGTTTAGTACTATTAGCTGCTAAGATATAATGGCGATCCAGTAAGGATATAGCGCGTGGTTGTATCACACCACCCGATTTGTACACCATCAAGTTAGTGCCCGTTCTGTAGTCCCACGCTGTAATAGACGCTTGTGATTCGTTGGAGTCACTGGTGAAAAGTACTTCTACAAGTTCTGCCATTTAAAATGCAATAAAACTTCATAAACTTCTTAAATTTTTTATTGTTAAATTTTAAGACTCCTTTCAATTTTAAAAGTTAAACAGAGAATCGCTCTCCTTTATTACACACGTGTTTTTGTTTACATTACTGCTATGAGAAATGTCAAAAAGTGACATATAGCACGACCGCCGTTGAAACGTGCATATGTGGTGCATATCTTTTTGTTTGTGAAGTGCTTCTTGCAGGACGGCTATTTGGTTTATGATTTGCAAAAAGCTTTAAAACCAACGAAAAATGGTTCAGGAAACAGGCAGTATATCACTGCCACAAAAGCGATATTACCGGCAAAGGGCGCACTCAAATCCAATTGCCGATCATTGCTTCGACTAGTAAGTACACTGTACAGACGTATATTTAATAAAATAGTTATTCTATTGAATCACCTTTATTATATTATTATAGCCCGGCACACCCGGATGATGTCGATTGGCAGGAGATGTATCCTAATATAACATCTGACCAATGTGTCGAATTCGCTGATATTGGGTGCGGGTATGGTGGCTTTCTTGTTACTCTTGGTGAAATGTTTGCCGACCGGTTTGCAATCGGGCTAGAAATTCGTGTGAAGGTTTCAGATTATGTCATGGATCGTATAAAAGCGCTACGCACTTTGCATCCAGGGAAATATAACAATATTGCTTGCTTACGCACAAATGCCATGAAGTATCTACCAAATTATTTCCGCAAGGCACAATTGGACAAAATGTTTTTTCTTTACCCTGACCCACATTTTAAACGCGCTAAGCATAAGTGGCGTATAATAAACCAAGCCCTTCTCTCGGAATATGCATATGTATTACGAAAAGGTGGACTTGTTTATACAATGACTGATGTAGAAGATCTTCATAAATGGATAGTACTTCATATGGAGCAACATCCTCTATACGAGAGATTACCAAGTGATGAAGAGGTGAGATTAAATTTTTTTTTCTTTTTTGCAAATGCAGAGATGTATTAATTATTTTTAGAAAGCTGATCCAATAACACCAAAACTTTACCAGAGTAGCGAAGAGGGCGCAAAGGTTGTACGAAACAAAGGTGACCATTTCTTGGCAATATTCAGACGGATTTAGTATAAGTAAACATAAGTTAAGTTTCGTTTATATTATTTAACCCAAATAAATAAATTATATTTAAATTTTCTTGTTTTCATATCCAATGCCATGGCAAGATAATATAACTCGGTTATTTGAATCGATTTCCTCAACGTCAAACTTAGCTCCAGTCATTAGATTGGCCACATGCATGGCCGTACGGGTGTGTTGGGTGAGAGGTGTTGTGAGTATTCTTGATATACCATGAGCAAGAGCCATAAATATTATTATTTGGTCTTGCACATGACTATCTACACAAATTTCGCTCTTCAAATATTTTGTTAATTCATCAGCTGCACTTTTCCCCAAAGCATGACCATCAACTTGCCGTTCACCCAACGCTGACGATCCAACGGTACATCCTTCTGTAGTAACCGCTTTCAAAATTACGCCAGAGCCATTATCACGTGCCACTTCTAAACTTTCTTTGTATGCTTCCAATTGTGGTGGATTTCGACATATTTGTTCCAACACTCGTTCCGCAGCCTGTTTCATATCTTCCGCTATACGCAATGGCAACTTGCCTGCCACGAAACACCAACCAGACACTTCATTTACAACACCAAAATTAACTAAGTTCACTGCTTTTAGGCTACGTACCGCTGGAACTAGTACTTTACAATGTCCTCCTCCACGAGGATAATAGCCGCGTTTGAATAAATCAAAATCAAAGGTTACTCCGAATAATTCCAAATTTGGACGTAAGACTTCTGTCATACTATCCACTTGAGGTGCCATACCAACATTTGTTCCTCCTATTAGATCCAATTCTGACTTGCTGCTTCCAAATATCAATACAGGCAGTGCCGCTTGTAGCACTAATGCAACACTCGCAGCGGTTCGTGTATCCACAGTATAACGTCCAGAGGTAATGTCACCTGGATAAAACTCCACCTCAGTTGATTTAATATGATTGCCCTTTACGAGTGCTCCAGTTATATTTTGCAAAAGATTCAAACCAAATAAATGCTGATTGGAAAGCCCTGGATTAGGACGATTGGCACGTATGTTTGTAACTTTGATAGGCCGGCGAAGAATGCTACTCAAACTAAGTGCATTCCGCAGTATCTGCCCACCACCTTCCAGGTAACTACCATCAATTACAAGAGCTTCTGACATGACTTCGTTATCTTGATTTCTTTAAGTTTAACCTTATAAAAAAATACCTTTTTTACAATGGATTGCTAACTAGGACGTTTGATATTTACAAATATATTATTCTTTGACAACTGACCATTAGAGTTGCCATGATAATTAATTTTTGTCGTTTTGTTTTTTACAAATCATATACCCTTTAAGAAAGCAAATGAAATTTCGAAGAATGAATAAACAATTTGCATCGCATTTTTAAAATTAGGTATTTACTTTATTATTGATATCTGGTTAATTATATAAAGTTCGCCACAATTTTTTTAATATAATTAATTGTTTTGACATGTACGCAAACAAAATCCAAATTTATATATGTTTGTGTATAGAAGTGGGATCGTGATCACAAATCTATATATATGGAAACATTTTTACCTCTTACGATCGCGGGAGCGCTCATGATCGCTCGAACGATGCTTCTGACCACCGCGATGTGATGATCCTCGATTCGAATATCCGTGATGATGTTTACTCGAGTAACCATGATGATGCTTGCTGGACTCCTTATACTCCTGATACTTGTCACGTTCACGATATTTATCACTGGTGTTCATACGCTCTTTATTGGAATAATAATCATTACGATCATGTTCTCTGGATGATTTCCTGAAACATGCAGCAAAGATTGGTATAATAAAAATAAACAATATCAGACTTTTTTAAATGCTACCTTTTGCGGTGTTTTGCGTGTGGTGAGCTCGATGGGGATCGTGAATAATGTCTGGACTTCTTCTTATTTTTATTTGATGGTGGGGAGCGTGAGCGACTACGAGAACGATGCGATTTCTTGTTTCGGCTCTTATAGTCGCCAATACCATTCGAAGCGGATCGCGAACGACTGCGTGAACGGGATGTGAATTTGGGTGAACGTGAACCTCGAGAACGAGATCGAGTTCGTGAACGCGAACGTGAATCCTTATCTGGTGATTTATTTTCTGTTGGCAATGGCAATGGAATTGTCCGCTGTATGAATCCACCCCAAGCATTATGTGAGCCGTTATTGCGATCTACTGTGGTAACTGCTGGCGGTGTATTTTGTTCCTTGTTTTTATTACGAGATTCCATATATCGTTTTTTCAATTCCTCAACGGCAGCGTCTAGTTTTTCAACATTTGGCTGAAGAGATTTGGATTTGAAACTCATTTACATATACATATAGTTTTTTTTAATTACCACTCACCTTAGCTCGCATATATAATTCCATTATACGATAACAAATATCAACGATATGATCTTCGCTTACTCTAAATATTCCGAACCATGGTGGATTATTTGGCAAAGGGATTACGAGTTTTCGTGCACTCAAGTATATGCAAGCACAAGCAATAGTTTCTGGTTGATAACGCATAAATACATCGGTGCGCAGTGAGTCGTTCATGAAATTCCATGACATTTGCATAAGTTTCTCATGTTTTTCATACTTCATGACTTGCAAATACATGACAATAAGTTTATGTGGATGTTTCACATGCACACAAAAACCCAATTCCTTTAGAACCCGTCGTTCAGCTTTTATAACTTGTGTTTTCAAATTTGTATATGCCTGGTCTAAAATCATTGGTGTTATGTCCCTGGGAATAGTAATTGATGTAAATATAACTTATGAAATCTTAGGCATGCAAATATACTTACTTTTGAGCGCGCACTTGTTTGATGTGATGGAAAACATTTATAACGTCCCGTATACGGCGTGGAGCTTCTTCAATTTTTGACGCCAAGCAGACGCAGCTCATTGCAACAGTTTCCATGTTGTACCGCACAAAACTTTTCGAATAAAAAAAGCGTTGAAAAATAACCTGTCCTGTTGCCATTGCGACTTGAGGCAGTTTAAGTAATATTCCTGCCGTTTGTATTAACTCGCAGCCCAGTATACGCAAGTCTTTTTCCGTCTCTGGATCTAAGCCATCGACATGCGATGGAGTTGCATTGAGCTTTGCTTCCGGTATAAGACTGTTTTCCAACGTTAGTACTATTTTATTAAAGAGCCGTGGGTATGCTGGTTTTGCAGTCAATTCCGATTCAGCACCACTTGCGCTTGGGCCTGCAGCACTCGCAGATCCACCAGATATAGAGGCTGTTGTGTTAGCCACATTGGATGTGCCTGCAGAACTTGTCATCTTAACTATTCCTGCTTTAGTTTGATGATAAACTTCAACAACTACCATTTGAACAAGTTTTTAACATTTGTGCCAAAATAATAAAATAAAACTAATTAAAGAAAACACAAGTGAGACAACAGTCACGCCAAAAAATCCGCAGAAAAATGTTTCACTGCTATTTGATGACATTTCTTAGAGGGTGGTGCAAAGTTTTCAAAACATAAAATTATTAAAAAAAAATGTGGTTTAAAAATTATTTCAAATTGCACGTCGTTTCCAATTTATCAACAATTTTCCTATTAGTACAAATTAAAAATGATTTATATTATTTTAACTCTTCCAGACGTGATTAAATTTTTCGTAAATTGGCAGCGCGATAAACAGTGCTGGTATTTCTACAAACAAATTTCTGTTGCTCATATTAAAAATTGCTGTCCAGCAAGAGTTGCTAAATTTTAAATTTAATCGTGTACCCTCAAAATTTACTAAGCGTTAAATGTGATTCTTTCAAAAAAATAAAATTCAACGAAAATAATAGAATGTCAAAAATTATGTGTTTTCCAATTAATTAAAAAATCATTTAATACATATTCAGTTTTACGAATATACGTTTATATTTGTATTTTTTTTATTTTATAAAATCTTACATAATGGGCTATCGGCCGTATATTTGTATTATATGTACAAATGTTTGTATATATTAAAAATGTATTTAAACGGATCCACTAAAACATATTAATAACCGGTAGCTACATAATCGAGGTTTCACTGTACTTCACCCAAGTGATAGATTCCTCTCAATAACATAAAACACATCTAACTTTGCTATTTTGATTTCATTATTTGCTAAATTAATTACATTTCGGTTAATTTAATTTTACTAAAGGCATGGCATTAAGAGCATTTGGAAATAGAAATTTTTCGTCTCTCGGTAGGTATATCCAGGTACAAGGTTCAAAGTCCATACCATAGGATCAGTTTTTGTATCGTTTTTATTTGCAAATATACATATGTAAATGTATTTAGCTTTGAGGGCTGCTGTTATCACAAAAGTGGAGCGCAACATGAGTAGTAGCATTTTGCATAAACATGATGGAGATTTGAAATATCATACACTAAACATCACTATACCAAAACAATTTGTTTACCATGTCGAGCTTAATCGACCAAAACAATTAAATGCTTTCAACAAGGACCTGTTTGTGTAAGTACATAAGGAAACACTGCTGTTGGTTTTATTTAATTTCTTTATGCTGTTAGTGAAATTAAGAAGTGCTTTGAGAGTCTTAGCACCAATCCTGACTGTCGAGTAGTTGTTTTATCAGGCTTAGGAAAACACTTTACTGCAGGACTTGATTTAGTTGATGGTATGAAGTTGAGTCAAGAATTAGGTGCGGTTGATGATATTGCACGGAAAGCTGCTTTGCTGGAACACACAATAAAACTCTATCAAGATTCCATATCTTCCTTGGAAATATGCGCGAAGCCTGTTATAACAGCTGTACATTCTGGCTGCATCGGCGCAGGAGTTGACCTTATAACTGCTGCTGATATACGTTATTGTAGTGAAGATGCATTTTTCTGCGTTAAAGAAGTTGACATTGGTATGGCCGCAGATGTAGGTGTATTGCAACGACTACCAAAAGTCGTGGGCAATGAATCATTGGCGAGGGAACTTGCCTATACTGCGAGACGTTTTGGTGCTACAGAAGCGCATAACTTCGGTTTGGTTAGCAAAGTTTACCCATCCAAGGAAGCTTGTGTTGAGGGTGCGTTGGAATTGGCCGCAATCATCG